TGAGAACCTCTCATGGATTCCCAGTTTCTGTAAGTGGCTAAGTCGGTGGAACATAGGCACTGACTGTACAGAAAGCAAGTGTGAGTTACAGACACTCCCACTAGACTTTCTTGGGAGCAACCTAAATACTGGAATCTGTGCAGAGAAATTTTCAGACAGGGTTACATCAGAATTCTTCATATCACTTCTTGTGCCACCTCCTGCACCCAGGACAAGTCATGCACCCTCTCTCTCCTAGTCTACACTCATTACTATTGTGAAGTATTCCTATGTCAATCTCCTGGCTGACAATGTCTCTACACCTTCTTGCGTTTGAACTCTTGTCCCAGGGAATGTACTGGGCTTGGTTATACGTTAGGCTCCTGCAGGAAGGAGCCTGCCTTTTGATATGTACTGTAGAGTGCTGTGCACACTAATTGGGCTCTATAAATACAACCTCTAGGTCTCTTTGTACTTTGATGGAGAAAAGCTCTCACTGGCAGTTTTCTTTATGGGCAGCGGAGGGGGAAGGAGGAATGACAGTACTTTTCTTAATCTTAAATCGTGTCTCTTGCTGAAGCTAAAAGCTAGCTAAAAAACCCCCATCTCATAATGGGTGTTCTGCATGCACTTCCTCTTGCTTGCTGGGATATGACGTTTCACCAGTAAACAGACAACCTCTCCTCCCACATGCTCTCTCTCTCTCTCTCTAGCGCACAGCTGAAAGCTTTCTTCCCTTTGATTTTTCCATGGCCCTACACAGCCCAGCCTGCTACAGCTCAGCAGGAACAGCTGCTGACAGGCTCCCTCTCTGACTTCATAGATGTTGCTTTCAGGCTCTCAGATGTTTCTTGCCTCCACTGAACAGATTTTTGGCCAACATCTCTGTCTCAGATGTGCTGACTCCAGCTCTCCCTTAGCCTCCTGTTTTATTCCACTTATAGCAGATTGCTCTGACTAAATCACTGCTGCCAGGCAGAGGTGAATCCACAAGGCGCTTTTCAGAGAAGTGTTTCTATTAAAAATTTCAGAATGTGCTGCCAATGTAATTTACAAGAGGGTTAATTCATTGCTGAGAGACACTGATTCTCCATTCCTTTATGATGTTTTGTGCTGTAATTCAGTGGAACGAAATGAAAAAAGGTTATTAAAAGCTGAAAACTATGCCACAATAATCCCCCCCCCCAATTGCCATTATTTAGGATCAGCATGAGTTTTGATGGGAGTTATAATGCCGCATTCTCCCACGGTTTACATGTGATGCCAGGATGCATATACAGGAAAAGATGTTGATAAAGTCCAGTCCTTTCGGCTGTGATGTTTCTATGGTAGGCAAATCTACCTCCTTATAGGAAACAGGAGAAGGCGAAAGTGCTATCAAAGCAAATTACAATGCTACTGAGTGAGTGGATTTCCTTCTAGCTTTGCAGGATTCCAAAACTCTAACTAGGCACAGGCTGGTGCTTTACTAAATTAAATGTGCCATCGAGCTGAGAACACAGATTGCTTGCCTTTTGCTCCTGTTTTCCCATGAATAATGGAGAGTATGATCAGTCCAGACAGGTAGTGTACAATAATTACCGTCAGTGTTGCAATATGGAGAAACTGACCTATGCTGACTGATTTTATTGACAGTTTGGTCAGTTGGAAAGCAGGAGATGAACTTAGCAGAATCCGTCCAAAACGTTTGTTTCTGGAACATGTACCATGCTCAAACAGGACTCCAACTGAAATTATGGAAGTTTTTTCCAAGAAAAAGCTGCAGGATTTGGCCCTCTGCGGTTGTTATTAACTGTTACCCATTATTGTGAACAATTAGCAGGTTTATAGCACTTTTCATTTTCAGTCAGTTCATTCTCACAGCACCTCTGTGGATCAGATAAATAGTATTATCCCCATTTTACAGATTAGGAAACTGAAGCACAGAGGGATTAAACAACATACACAAGCCTAAAAGGAGTCAGTGTCAGCACTCGGATTAAAATAGAGAGTCATGGCTCCCAGTCCTGTACTCAGACTGCTAGACCCTGCCTCTTCCTTGATAATGCTTATAAATTCAAAATGCTTCTTCCCTGTATTTATTATTTCTTTGGATTTCTGCAATAATCAAACAGAGTTTTTCCATGTGTAATTCTGACAAAAATAAAATCAAACGACAGCCATCAGAGCTCAACACCACCCAAACACAAACCTCCCACCCCTGTACATAAATGTAACCTGCCCATCACATATGACTTGATATATTTAAATGGCACTGGAATTTTACACCTGGGTTCATAAACCTGGAATGTCAGGTTGCTGCATCCTCTTTGCTATGGTGTCAACAGAAATTGCAACACAAGACGCTACAGTTTTTATGGACTTAAAGGGTAGCAACCGTGTCTTGTCAGAGCTCATGAATACACTGAAAAGGGTCTGAGATTCTCCTATACATAGTGTCCTATTTAATGATTTCACAGAAAACCTCCAGCAGATATTTTTAAAGGCTGCTGTTGGAAATGAACATATAAGCAAGGGACTGACCACTTCTGGCCATTAAAGTTCTCACAGTACTTTTTGTAAGGTGTTAGCTTAGCTGTGGTGTCCTGGCCGAATTCCTGTCAGGCAGTCACATCATGCTTATCTAAAATTCAGACTCTAGACTCATCTGGCATAGTAGTTTTCACATCCTGTCCCAAAGTGGGTCATTTGTGTCCTTTCTATGTACTGTGGCTTTGCATTATTATATGGCAGCTGGTGGGTGAAATGATTCCTCAGACAGCGGAAAATCCTGCCTGCACCATCTTATTAGAGCTGGTCTATTTGGTGCACTGGTCTGCACCAGGGGGTGTACATTCTAGTGTGCATGAGTGTGTCACACACTAAGTGGCCCATATGGACCCTGCTGGCGCATACTGGAAGTGTGCGTTAATTTAGTCCCATTTCAAACAATACTATGTAACCTGCTTTAGTGCATGCCAGCAGGGTCCACACAGGTCAGTTAGTGTAGAACACACTAGTGTGCCCTAGAATGTACACCTTTCTAGTGCAGACTAGCGTACCATGTAGACAAGCTGGTAGAAGCAGGGCAGAGCTGGAAGTGCAAAGCCTTGAGCCTTCCTGCCAGCAATGGGCAGAATACTTCAAGGTGGATGGGGGAATATAGTGGGTGGCACCTTACAGGTGGTCTAAAACAAGATCACAGCCTGTGCCACCTGCTATGTGGCTGACCACAATGCATGCTTGGGTGAGCTTAACCACAGAGGACCAGGCCACCCTGAAGCTGCAGAGCACTTAAAGGAGCCTTACCCAGTCCTTCAGCCCAGTGCTGACAGGTGTACTAGCACTGTTATCTTGCCCTTCTACAGTGTGAGTGTAGCGATGTGGGGAGAAGAGTCTGATTCCAGCTTGTACTTTGCAATCAGTTTGAAAAGTACAGTGATTATGTCTTAAAATTCTCTTCCATTGTGAGAGCTATTACTGGTTGAGTGGCATATGCCATCTGCAGGGGAATCTCTCAAACTGAAGGTAGAATCCTTCAGAACAGAAGAAACTTTTTAAAATGGAACCCACTATATGAAAAGCACTTGGGGATCCTTTTGGATGAGAGTGTCGGATAAAGGTAAAATTTGTTTCAGTTACAATAATTTGCTAAAGTAAACTAGGCAAACTAACAAAACCACATTGTGGAGTAAATCTTCCATTTAATAAGTTAAAGAGCAATTATTTCTGGTGTTGCTTAATTGTGAACAGCCTTGAATACATTGAATTCTGACACTGAAGGTCTGTTTATGTTCTAAGTTTTCATTTTAACACAATATTACAGTAGCAGTGTATTAAATAAACTTGAGAAGTAAAACTATATATTGGAGCCTTAATGATTTTGCTTTAATAAGACCTAAACTTTTAATTAACCTGCCAAGACAAATTGCAACCCATAGCTCTCAGGTAACTACTGCAGACAGCTGAGACTCAATGCCAATGCCTCTTTGGGGAGAGGAATTAATGGCAACACTGAATGAGCCTGCTTTATGCAGTAAAGAAAAAAGGTCCATTAAACAATCATTGTGGGTAGAAGAAAGCTAAGTGCTGATTTTATGGAGGAGTCTTTGAATTACAACAAAATGGATATGGGGATATGAACCTGCTCAGGAGGTCAGTCAAATATAAAATTAAACATGAAGGAGTCAGAAATAGGTTCTGGTAAAGGATTGATTGCAAACAGAGGGATATAGACCTGGGAGAGGTCATACAGTGTGAAATGTATATGCTGGAAGAAGAATCCTGGGGTGCTGTGAGAAGAGGTGGTGGTTACTCAGTGCCTGGTGCTAACTGATTGCTTTACTGATGGAGAGCCTGGGTGAGTTCTGGATACCCAATTCCCATCCATTTGAATATTTCAGCCTCTTTCTTTTAGATGAGGCATAAAACAGGTTCATACAATGGGCTATCCCCTCCCATAGTGCTTTTTGCAAGAGACGGGGTATTAAATTTCGTGTCTTTGCCCAACTCCAATTTAAGTAATTATGTGATACCCACAGTTTCAATCAGATATGGTATTCCTCACTTCCTGTCCCAAACTGCTGCTTGATGCTGCTATGTGCTGTTGAACAGCTGCCCAATTCCACCAGAAAATAAAATAAAGGACCAATAGAAATAGAATCAAAGTTTTCAAATAGAAGGATCAGGGAGGAGGGGCCATCTTTGTAATCAATAACTCTGGCTTCATCTGCAGTGGCAGGCAGCTTGTCTAAAACATAATTTTTAAATAGGGCTTTAATACAGTTATGCCCCATCCAGGCCATCATGGATATGTTAATCCTTACAGTATTTAGCATTAATATTGTGTGCAGTTTTGTTCCCAAGAAAACAACCATTGCCCAAATATCCTCACTTACGCTAAATAGTACTTTACTCTGTGAGTGGTCTCATTAAAATCAATGAGATGGTCCAGGAGTAAGATGCTACTCAGTGTAAGTAAGGGTATGAGAAACTGGCCCTAAGGTACATAGATTATGTAAAACAATATAGTAAATCCTTACCGATGGCAGTGGTAAGAAAAGAAACCACCTCGGACTCTTTGCCATCATTGTAGAAGGCCAGATGCCATATTCCTGTATCCAAATACTGGATAAACCCCGTCTCATGACTGGACATTGGCACAAAGCCTCTAGGTTGCCGCTGAGATCCTTCCAGACTCCTCACCTCCTGGGTAAGTAGCCGTCTCCCATCAAGGAGCTCAACAAAGTCAAACTGAAACACAAAGGAAAGATGTTCATTGTATATTTCAGGATTCCAGAAAATGATCACGCTCCCTGGTCCAGATCTGTCTCAGGATGGGCAGAAGAGCTTTGCATTAAACATATGACACCCACACTTATGGATCATCATACAAGATATTTCCTCTGGTAAGTCATGACATGTTCCAATTCAACCTATAAGGAGATGCCTGGAATTGTGTCTGTTCACAGTAGTTTGCTGGATCTCCACCCATTCTTCTCCTCTTGTTTCTCTCACAGCTCCTCACATACCTGCAGGAGCTCTTCTAATGCCTCCAACACACTGTGGCCACATTTTTTAAAATTCATAAAACCTTAAAACCAATAAAAAAAATGCAAAAAAAAAAATTGTGATTCCCACCTCATTACAAGGACCATCTCTTGCACATGTAAAGCTAAATTCTGATGTTGTTGAATCAGCCATTGTTTTCAACTTGGCCCATACTGTACAAATGCAATTTTTAAAAATACTTTATATGACATTAACTTTAAATTTCTTACTATATACAGACAATGAAGTCTAAATGAATTTAATATGGTAACAATAATTTTTAATCTCCTGACTTTTGTATAGAACCTTAACCATAAAGTTAGTTTTTTGCATTTTTTTCCCGCCTTGCTTCACTCTTTACATAGACGTTGGGTAAAATCCTGGCCCTACTGAAGTCAATGGGAGCTTTTCCACTGACTTCAGTGGGGCCAAGATTTCACTCCTTATTTCTTAGCATTTCTTAGCAAAACATGCTTTCCAAGTTTGTCAAATCCAAATAATGTAGGTTATCTATAACTTGTATTAACTACTAAAATAAAAAGATCCATCATTTTTTCATGACTCTCAGAAAATAATCTTCAAATTATACTGCAAAATCACTTTAGGATAGGAAATTTCAGTATAAAAAATAAGTTTCATGGGCAAATCAGAAGCACCTGATAATAGGCACTAATAATGAAAGTGGGCTTCATGCCAATAAACACAGACCATGCGTAATATGGGTGTATACAAGCACTTTGGGACACATGCAACCAGCACTTGTGCAAATAAAATTGCATATTTGGCGTATAACATTATCTGTCTACGGCTCCAACCTGGGAAATCATCCTTATTCAGGATCTGAATTGGTGCTTAATGTTGGTGAACGCATATTTTGCAGTTGTCATGTAGGCATCTATTTTTGAATATTTGAACCTCAGTATCTTCCATGAACCCACAGAATTCTTGAGATAGGTAACTGAAATAAAAAGAGGGGCCATCTACCTTTTCAAGGTACAAGCTACAAGCACATAAATTCTAACATAAGTGTTGGTTCCTTGAAATGTGTTCCTGTTACCTGGGTATGTGAAGGAGGAAGGCCTTTCCTGCCATAAATCCCAACCAGAGCGGCCTTTCCTAAAGACACATTGAATTTCAGATGCACTGGATGGTCAATGAACACTTGAGATCTCCAAAAGATACCAGGAGGAATCTTCTGTGTGGCTCGTCGTCCAACATCAATTTCTCCAGAGTCTATAAAACTGTCCTCCGGAAAGAAACTACGGGGCTTTCCTGCTGAGACATAGGAACAAAAAATCCCCTTGGATTAGCCTAGCCTCCCATAAGTAATCTGATCAAACTGGTATCTCTGACATTGATCTACCAATGTGCTGACTTTTTCAGAATACATTATGCATCAAGTCTTTATGACTATGAAAGAAAAATGGATAGGATTACTCCTGGCTACGCTCCATCTTTCTAATGAAAACATGTATCTTGGAAGAGCAACATGGATTCCCAAATGGCCCTCTGCTTAAATCATAACAACAGAGCTTGTTAAATTACATGTTAATGTTAAAAATAAATCTTACATCACATCACATCGTTAATTTAAGTTATTTATGGAGAAAGTAATTATTATATTATCAAAAAATGTAGTGATTGTGAGTTTCCCATGCACCATGGAGTCAGATGACTATGTCAAGAACATCTGTTTAAGTGAGGGTGAATTAGGCAGGGGGAAAACTAAAAGTAAAATTCACTGCTAAATTAATGGTTGGCAATTGTGGGGATGCTTGGGATGGCATTCCCAATATGAAACACCTAAACGAAGGAGGGACATTCAGCAAAGGTAGGGGACCATAATATGCTGCACTTCTACAGTGACTCCCATTTAAGAACTCAAAGGTGTTTTTATTAGATTTCAAAACAACTCTGTGAAGTGGGTTATGATTATTATCCCTGTTTTACAGATGGGAAAATTGAGACACAACGATTAAGGCATCGTTTCTGAAAGAGTCTACTGAGTTTGGGTGCCCACCTTGAAACACTTTGGGCTGATATCCAGAGGTGCCAAGAACCTACACTTCCAAATGAAGTCAACAGGGTGCTCGGCACCTCTAGATATCAGGCCCTAGGCATCTCAAGTTGGGCAGCCATACACTTAAGCTCTCAGAATTATGGGCACTTTGGAAAATGGGGACCCAAGGGAAGCACAGTTAATTAGGGTCAGAGAGGGAAATAAAACCCCAGGACTGCTGACTCCCAGGCCTTTGCTTTAATCACTGGCCCATGCTGCTTCGCCTGAAATTACAGCAAAACAGGAAAAGAGATAGAGATGAAAAATGTCATCGCTTAGGAGGCTGCCTTTATTTTATAATTAAACACACTTGCATTTGAAAAGTATATGTTACCATCACCTCCCAGATTTCAGCTTTTATAGGAACAATTAGGAGCCAAGAGAACACCATGTGGACCATCATAGGCTGTCTTTATTACCCTTAGATATTCAAATCAACCTACTATTTCATCTCTTTGCTACTAAAACCCATTACTGTATGTTTCACAGATTCAAATGATTCTAACAAAATGAGAAAGAATCTTTCAGGAATATGAAGTCATTTGTAACAAAATCACGTTTGTAGGAACTTTTTTTTTTTTTTTTAAATAATATACTCTGCATTTGGGGAATAAGAAACTCAATGTCCTCCTACCCATTACGAATTCTCATCAAATACCCTCACAATGCACATTTAATGCTGAATTGGTGGTTGATAGGGCAATTAAATAAAATATTTTGCTGTTTTAAATAATAAAAATCCATTTAAATGTTAAATTTCTCCATATATCATCATCCTAATGTAAACTTCACAGCAGAAGCATCAGGTTCAAACTGTAAAAATGTCATCTTAATTAAAAATAGATAAAAAAGTTAAAATTCATGTTAACATTAAAAAGCACCCAATGCTGTTTCTATCTTTATTATGGAGATGAGTTTGCATTTAATTTTTTAATCCAGGAAAGCTATTAAGCACATGCTTAAGTTTCAGTCCCAATGAAACTACTCCTGCTTAAAGTTAAGCATGTACTTAAGGCTTTGTTAGATTGGAACCTTATGGAACACGTATGCCTCATTATCATTATTATTTTTCAGAAACACTGTTACATAAAGTTCATTAATAAAAGTCTGATTTTGAAAGGAATAAAATCACATTCACAGAAACATGGATCTGCTATTGTTATCAACACCTAATTTAGTTTTGTCCTTTTTGCGCTCAAAGGAACAAGGAAAAGTCTAGACTCCTTATTTATCCGTGTTTTAAAATCAAGATTAACAGAGGCATTTTGGGGGAATAGGAAATTATAATTAAACCATTTGCAACACTGCAAATAGCATAGAATAATACAACGGAGATCAAATTAGTTTAATTCCATGAGTTTTATTTTGTAAATTGGATTATTAGAATTTGCGTGAATCCTAAAAGTCATTTTTCAGGATACTGAAAATTTTTCAGTTTGTGTGTGTAAGGCTCTCTTTCAAAACTTCCTATTCTATTGGCATGGGATGCAAAGAGAGCTATGAGAAGCTAGAAAAAGATACAAAGACTTTTTCTGGTCCACATCAAAGGTACATTTCTGGATTATTACTGATGTGTTTGATACACACATGGAATTCAAAATGGAAAGTCAAAGCACATGGTGTTCTTTCTGACTGGTCATTAATGAAGATCTTATATCAACAAATGAGGCAGGGTGAGTTTAAAATACTAAATGCTGCTGTGCAGTAGATACCTCAGAAGAAATGAATTCCTTGTAGTAGAGTGAGTGGTGCTTGCTCAAATGAAGAAAAGAAAAAAAAAAGTTCTGTGTTTGAGGCAAAAATGGCCATTCCACAGAAATAATTGTGAAGATTTCAGATATATGTCTTTTCTTGACTGTCAGTTATATATATGAAAATATCTGATGTACTTTTTTTCTGGAGCTAGTCAAAGCAGCTGCTTCATGTCCCCACTGGGTGAGATTTACCCCAGTGCAAAAGTTCAGAGCAAGATTTTCCGCACAGGAGTAAATGTCGCCCACTGACATCAACAGGAGTTGTCAATGGCGCCAAACAGAATAGGATCAGGGCCTGAGAACTGGCTATCCAGAAAGAAACTCAAATAAGAATGCAATTTCAGTACAATTTCTAATCCGAAACTTTATCTAACTAACTTGAAGCAAAATTAATTTCAGATCTGAATTCCTAATTGTGCTGCGAATTACTTTGCTCTTCCAACACATTACCTTGCACATGCAACACTTTAGTTTCCAAAGCAACTATTCATAATTTATTCAGTTATCAAAATGAACTGTTTCATTTTTGAGCCCAACTGAGTTTGATTATAGTTCTGATACAGGCTTTGATTCAGTAAAGCACCCTGATCCATCAAAGCCCTTAAGCACATGCTGAAACGTCACTGAGTTCAATGGCACTTAAGCAGAAGCTTATATTTGCTGAACAGGGATGGACTTAAGCACATGCTAAAGTGCTTTGCTGGACTGGAGACAGACTGGAGCTGGTAACTGCCTACAGCTAGCAATAACAAATTCATTTCAGCACGAAGGAAATGTTAGCCCCAACCAGCCAATTCCACCATAGGAAAGGTAGTCTCTTTGAGGATACTTTTCAGTCAATTTTCATAATTCCAATGATATACCTTCTTATTTAGAAAAGCTGTTGTGTAATATTGCTAGCACAGACTGGTAACTACCATGTTACCACCCTACACAGGTAGCTGCATTTCAGTGGTGGACATTGTCACCCCTGTAGAGACACATCCAAGGTCTTCATTTAATTTTTAATCAGGAGCAGATCACGCCCACAGGTTCCCCAAGACAGGCAAGAAGATCACGCTGAGGCTCTGCACAGCTCTCTACCTACAGTAGTCCTCAGAGACCCCCCCTCTAAGTAAACCTCCCCAGTGCAGAGAGGATTTGGCAGAAAAGCCGACAGACTGTGAGAGCATATACATACGCATGTATGTATACACAGAGAGAGAGAGATCCACACTCCTATTCAGACAAAACTCCTTTTGATTTCAGAGGGGGTTTCACTGAGAAGGACTGAGAAAACTCAGGAAAGACCTTTGATTTGGCCCCTTGATTATTAGATATATCATTTTAATTTTGATCTTTGAATAGGGAAGGCAGAGATCAAATGCAGTGTATAGGGATTTGAACATAGCAATTTAAACGGAAGACAAAAGAAAAATAAATTTTATCGTGAGGACTTTTTGAATGCAGAAATATTCAGTAGTTCACTACATTGTCTAGCAAGCTTTGTCCAGGGTCCTACAGTTCTGGATTAATTGATTTACATTGTAATAATTTCATTTGACACTGACCAGTCATTAGTAACTTTGTTGCTTTAAGGCATATGTAACTCTGGCCTTTGTTTGCATTCAGAAAGACAGATAATCCCATTAAGTAAAATTTCTGTAATTAACAGATGCCAAATAAGCTTACTTATATAAGGCCTGATCCCAAGCCCACTGAAATCAGTGGAAAGACTTCCATCAATTTCACTGGGCTTTGGATCAGGCCCACATTCCTTGCCTGCCCTCTCCTCCCCCCTTCACCCCCCCGCAACTACAACTCCACCAATTCTACTGGAATGAGAGATTTTTGATCTCATGGTCACTTAAATTTGAAGAAAAGACGGTGCAGCATAAAGAGCTTTATTAAATTCAAAGCTGAATTCCTCATTTCTTCATCTCCCCTACATGAATCTTAGAGTGATGAAAACCCTGTGCTTTGCAGACCCCATAGGTATCTCTGGCACTGATGCCTCCATTGAAAACACAAAGTTGCAAAACCCTTGCTTGCTTGTGGAATAGTGTAGTGTTTTTTAAATTAGACCCTGATTCTGCATAGTTCTGAGCAGGCTCAGGGCCTCTAACTTCAGTGGGACTTGAAGGCTGTCAGCACCATGCAGACTTTGCAGGATTAGGCCCTTCATTTGGCTGTCCTTGAGGGTACATGGCCATCTTCACAATGCCAAAGCTTGCAATGCCAACAACTTTTAATGACTATTTTGGTACCCACAACAATGCCAACTAGTAACCAAAAGAAATACTAGGGTAAGCACTGTTGTATTGCTGTAGAGAAAGCACAGTGATAATCTTCAAGGCATCACTTTAGCTCTTAAGACATGAACATGGTTTCTCAGGAATATAGCCCATAGACGACATGAAGCAGGGCTTTTGTGGTGGAATACTGTACCCATACGAGATGTGGTGCCCATATCCCCTCCTTGAGAATGGCCTCATAGGTTTGCTGAGGACATACACCTTATCTTCATGTTAATGGACATTAAAAGGATGTGACATCTGGAAACATAACTGACAACTACTAGCTCTAGACATGAAAGACTGGAAAAGCACCAGATTATGGTGCTGCAAGAAAGGCGGTATGGGGGTGATGGAGTATGACACTGGATGGCTGGAGTTTAAAGGCAGACACAGAGGACTCACAACATGGAAACACACCAACCATACCTTCACTGGATCCTTTGCCTTTCCTGTCAGGTAACTCTAACCCTGTGCCCCCCGAGGGATATAAGGAGACGTCCGTTGGCACTGGCCAACTGCTGGCTGTGTCTTCCGTGATCTCATACATCTGCCCTTCCATCGGCTGCAGGTGCCAGTTTAGGCCAAACAGGTGCATGGCTGTAGTGAGCAATGAGAAAAGTCATCTTTTTCTGCTGGGGAGAGCTTCATAACTGTAGGGGCACTTGGTAGACTCTCACCCTACTGCTTTATACTAATCACTGCTAAAAAGAAAAGCATGGGATTTATGTTATTGGACAGCCCACACTGGTTCCGCAATACCATCAAGAACATGACAATTTCTTTGGCCTGGGTCCCCTCTCACACTAGTTTCACACTAGTCTAGCACTGTTGACTTTAGTGGAATTGCTCCTGATTTATGCCAGTGTGAGAAGAGAATTGGACCCCAGGTCTCAGAATACACCTGAAGTTGGGATGAAAATTCAGTGAGCAGTTTTAGGGACAACACTTGAGAAGAAGTGAATGTTATATTTACTTATGCACCAATAAATCCAGAGAAACTGAGCCTTTGCTGTGCATTGTTGTATTCACAAGCTATTCTCCAGGCCCTTAATAATTTTTTTATTCAGTCCTTATACAGGGAGAGATGGTGGGAATTTTGACTGAGTAAGTGGTTTAGAGGTCTGCCACATATAATTCATTCTGTTATTGTCACGGTCTTAGTTGTATGTGGATTGAGTGCAAATTCATGTGACCGAGCTCTCGCTGGTACAATTCCAGCTTTCTGCTAATCATCCTGGGGGTTTAAAAGTGAGTAACACCAACTGGATTTGCATGAGTCCAGGACTCAGCTTGTTGTAGGTTTCTGGGATTACACAAGGCCATCCAGTGTATGACTCTGTTCCACAAAATTACAGAAAGGCGAGGAAAGTTAAGGAACATGACAGAACACTTAAAAAGCAAACACGTGTATGGAGAGAGGCATGCTTATGCAATTAAGACACGCCCCCTGAAAACGTGAAGGAAAACAATGTGGCTTCCTGTATCATTCCTTTCTTCCCCAACATAAACATTTCATATTTAATCACCATCCAGTTTACCTTCAGGCACTCAACAGCAAAATGATTCGATATTCAATGCACTTGTAATGACATTTTCCTATTAAGGGAGCAACTCCTATTTCACAAAATAGTTTCTCCAAGAAATATACAGTGATATTAACATCAGAGCTATTTAACATAAACAAAGAGGATGAGAACAGGACATTCTCACTGCCTATAGATATCATTTTATTTATAAAAATATATGCTCAAGTTTGTCAAACATCCCAATGATGAGTGCTGGGTTTATAAAGTCTTTACATTGGAAAGGATCCATTTCAAGTGGATTGAAAAGGCATCTGAACAGCTCTTTTGAAACAAGTAGTTTGGACATACATAGCAAAATTATCATTTTCTTCTATTTCATAATCAAGTAGGACATCTTCTAGCATGAACAGGAGTGTCACACACTAACAGGTAATGGAAGATCACTAAGCTGAGTGAAATTAGGATTCCCACTTTATCATGTAAACAGGGACTGGATTTGTTATCAAAACCCTAATGAATCTATTAAGAAAGAAAAACTCATGTAAACTCCCTATCAGAAAGGACAGACTCAGGGCTGTGTTCAAAACCAGGACATTTTTATGCAGGCACACATGCAACTTTACTAACAGGAAAGCTGCAGATATAGCTGTTGATTCAAACAGGAAACTTAGCACAGACTGGCATGTGGTTTTGATTTAAAGGGGGAACATGCGTTTCTCCAGAAATGCTACATAAGGATATGGTAAAAAAATCAAGGAGCCCAAGTATGGATGACAAGAACTTTCAGAGAGCCTTAGATATCAATCTGCTTATCCATTATGTATTTATGTACTTCCATGGCCCCCACCATCATAGTATCTGAGCACCTCACAATTATTAATGGATTTTATCCTCACAACATTGTATGAGATAGGAAAATATTATCCTCCTTTCATAGATGAGGAATTGAGGCACAGTGTAGATGAAGTGATTTGCCCAAGTTCACAGAGGTCATATGTGGCTGAGTGAGGAACTGAACGGAGATCTAAATACAAGACTAGTGCTCTCTCCAGCAGACCATCCTTCCTGCCTTATACCATGTGTATTGCCACAGTATTTGAATTCCTACTAATTAAGATACACTTAAGGTTCATTATTTCCTTCTCTCTCGCGGTCCCCCAGCAGGAATTCATTTATTATGGATAATAATTGTGAGAAAGCTAAGCTGAAGAAGTGAGCATTGTTTTGGGCACATTGAAAAGATTATGGAAGCAGAATACCTTGTTCTACAAACATGAGCGACTGACTGGAAGCCAGGAACTGCTGAGGCTTCCTTGCACACTGATTTTGTGTGTGTCCCTGGGCAAGGCAGCTGGTTATTTAATGCCCTATAGACACACAAACTTTAAGGACAGAGGAGACCATCATGATCATCTAGTCTGACCTCCTGCACATTGCAGGCCACAGAACCTCACCCACCCACTCTTTAACAGACCTGCTAAACTCTGGCTGAGTTACTGAGGTCCTCAAATCATGAATTAAAGACTTCAAGTGACAGAGAACGATGTGCCATACAGTAGAATACACTAGGGAGCCTCACTCAAGAGAAGAATCCACCATTTACACTGGTTTAAACCTGAAAGTGACCCATGCCCCATGATGCAGAGGAGGACGAAAATCCCCCAGGGAATGGATCACTTGATGCTTACCTGTTCTGTTCATTCCCTCTGGGGCACCGGGCATTGTCCACTGTCAGAAGACAGAATACTGGGCTGGATGGACCTTTGGTCTTACCCAGTATGGCCATTCTTATATTCTTATGTCTCTGCCAATCTGACCGGGGGAAAATTCCTTCCCAACCCCAAATACTGCAATCCATTAGACCCTGAAAACGTGGGCAAGACCCATGAGCCCGACACCTGGGAAAGAATTCTCTAGTTTCCCCATCTATGAAAGGGAGCTATTAATGTTCATCTGCCTCACATAGATGGTACGAAGCTTAGTTCATGCATGTTCGTAAAGTACGGTACTTTTAGGTCCTTGGCTGGAAAGTCTTTTAGAAATGAAGAGTTATCATAGAGGCCTTCATTAAAAAGTCAGCTTTTGCTATTAGTTAACACAGATTTTCCCTCAAATAAAATAGGAAATATCACCAACCATAAGACTCTACTTGAAACTGACACAGAAAATTTGCGTTTGCTTTAGAAACTGGATCTGATTCAAGTTCTTTCTCATGAAATCATAATATCTCACCATGTGATTATGTGATTATTATTACTATTTTACAAATACCAAAACTTTATGATGTTGGAAGCTGGAGGAAGATTCTGCCTCTCATTTGCTCTCCCATAAAGGCCACCTTCTTGCTGAAATGTCAAGTAATAACAGCAATGGATGTTTTAGGTTTGTAAATCTCAGTGGGATATTTATAACTGTTGATGCACACTGTTGTTTAAATGTTTTGAGAGCAGCACAAAGAAAGGAAATTCAATCTTGTTGTTCACTAAATTGATGCAAAGGCCTTGTGGGTAAAAAACAGGGTAAAGAATAGGGTCTTGAAACCATGGACAACAGACACAATCGTACGCTTTGAAATGTTAATGGTTCCTAAATGCAAAGTGAAGCCATAAAAGAAGCTGAGACTCCTGATGTTCTTCGTCTCCAGGTCAATCTGAACCCATGGCTGACATTTTCTCTGGCTTTTTTCTGCTCAGCAAGATGCGAGACGTGGCTCTCACAGTGAACGTTCCATCTTGACAATTTCCCTCTCCCCCCAAATGGGATGTTCAATAAATGCTCTAATACTGAAGGCTCCTGGATATTAAAAGAGCACAGTGCAATTAACAGTCATTAAAATGTACCATTCAGTGCACTAGCATGTAGCTTCCACTGCCTAGGAAGCCAGGTGGCATGTGCTTTTGAGAAGCTTTGGTTACATTTTGCATATTTAAAAAAACTCTTCTGTTTTTTCTTGGAATTGAAATACTAGTGGGGAGGGGGGAATACAGTGTATGTGCTCACTGGACCAGCTCAACCCCAATGCATAGATCAAGACACACCAGGGAGGCAGATGGCCCATTATGCTTGAGTTTTAAAATGAAATCCTCTACTTTTAAATGAAGTAAGTGCTGGTGAAAGTTGCCTGGATGCTGAAATCCACTGACCAGGTAACAGCACACAGACAGTGGCAGCGCAAGCTTCCTTATCACCATGCCCGCAGCAAGCCTCAACCCTGTTCTGAAGGGATGCCTCTAGGTGGCAAGGAGTTCAGTCTCCATGGCCCTTTCAAGCCTTGGCTACTCTGCTGACTGTGCCAGGAAGAGTGCCAATTAATGCCAAAATGCAGCGGTGATGTGTCTGTGGACTCGTAGGCACTCATTTAAGAGAGGCCAGTAGCATGAATCTTCAGCTGGTGTCCTTTTATTTCTCATAGTTGAAAAATGCTACCTTTCAAATGAAGTACAATGTTGGTGGAACTGACGATGCTGGCTCATAATTTTTGTTCTATACAATAGCATCCCTTTTCTGCATGGCATTATTCCTATGACATTGCTCTTCTCTATGGCTGTGAGCTTCATTGTCTGTTCTTGTAAAGCCCAAGAAAGTGGTAAAGGGGTTCAAAGTTTGCTTTTAAGAGACACAGTCTTATGGATATGTTTCCATTACGGCCATTGTCTTACGACACAGCAAAACAAAGCAGGCAAAAAATCATGCTCAGCAGAGCAGAACAAAGAGAACCTGGAATAACATTTAAGATAAAAAAAAGACAAAGAAGGATAGCAATTTACAGGGTCAACAAAATGGACATCTCTTGGGAAAGGTTGATGGAGTGAGGGAGTTAGCAGAAAGAGGCAGATGATTGTGATAGATTACAGGGAGAAGACAAGACAAGACATGTTTAGTGAAGCGTAAGAGACCCCCAGAAATCACAGAAGTCAGCAGAACAGTGAAAACCACACTGCTGCCCTTTATTAGATTGTTGACTTGCCCAAGCTGGCAAGGTAAGTGTAATAAATAACCAAACCAATCAATTACGATGTCTGAAATTAAGGCCCAATTGCAAGGCTATGGCTGAAGACATCAGCTGCTTTC